TGAGAAACTTTTAGCACTGGGTAGCTCTCAGTCAGATCAAATAAGCAAACTTTTCAAGTGAGATCTTCTGGGGAACCACCAGATAGGTCAAATAATGACAATTGACCGGGAGTGAGGTTTTGAAGGAGCACCAGCTCCATTCTGTTCCATCTGGTACTGGAGATATGGGCTAATTTTCAGGTTACCACTGATCTGGACAGTGAGGAATGGTCTAAGGCAAGTTGAAATGATACAAATCGCACTGTTCTTACAGAAATTCAGCTATTTTTCTGGAATATTTATTTATATGTTCCTTGGCTGCTACAAGCCTTGGTTAAATTTCCAGAGTTCTGAAAAAGTTGATTCTGACCATTTTTGCCATTTTTTATTGTTGTTGCCTTTATGGAGAGATGAAGTTTCAGATGTCCTTAATCCACCATTTTCACTGACATCACCTACAGCATGGTTTGAAATCTCTTGTCTCGGGCTGAGCCTGTGGCGCACTCGGGAGAGTGCGGCGCTGGGAGCGCAGCAGCGCTCCCACCGTGGGTTCAGATCCTATATAGGGATGGCCGGTGCGCTCACTGGTTGAGCGCGGTGTGGCTGGTCTCAAAAAGAACAAAAAAAAAAAAAAAAGAAAGAAAAAAGAAATCTCTTGTCTCAATGACCATGGATTAATTAAATATTTAATCATGGAAAATGATTAGGGGAAAGGAGTAAAAAGAGAAACTGTAATTCTCATAGTGGCTTTCCCAGATAAGTACATCAAGTTTCAAAAGTTTTTTCTATATTTAGTTTTCTCAAAATAAAGGTTAAAGTTACAGCTATTTTAAACCCCTTTTCTTTATACAGGTTAAACACAGGCTTTGGAGTCAGAACTGAGTTCAAGTTCCAGCTTTGATTCTTATTAGCTTGGCCACCTAGTACATATTGTATAACCTCTCTGTGCCACAATCTCCTCATTTATAAAATGGGGTAATAATAATATGTACCATATAAAGTTATTCTGAGGATTAAATGTGAAATGCTGATCACAGATGCCTGGCAGCTGAATAGATATTAGCTGTAATAATTATTATTTTTATAATGTTCTGCAAATGTACACTAATGATTCTTTTGTTTGTTTGTTTTTGTTTATTGAATCAAAATCGATTATATATTTTTGGGGTTGAACATTGAGATATGTTGATTAAATCAATATTACTAGCATATATACTGTTACAAATCATAATTATTCTTTATGCCCCTTGTCCAATCTCTCCCCTTCCCCTATTCCCCCTCCCCCAATTGCCCTAGATTTCTTCTCTCCTTCTGAAAGAGTAATGGTTACTGTGTTAACTTGTTGTCTAGATGATCTGTCCAATGCTGAGAGATGTGATCAGGTCCCCTAATATTATCATAGAGCAGATGCTGCTTCTGTCACTCTGAAATGGGTTTTTTGGAAAGAGACATCTTTTCTTTGTCTCTGCTGGTGACTCTTCTTGTGTGGCTACACTCTAGTGGTTGGCAGACCATCTGCGTGGTGGCCATGGCTTCTAGCCGCTTTTGCAGCAGCCATGGTAATTGTGGTAGCTATGGTGGGTCACCCACGTGGGGGTGCTGTTTTTGGTATGCTCCTTGGCACTGGCGGTATGCCTGGTTGTGGGGTGTTTTTGGTCCCCTTCTCCATGCCTCTGGTCCCTGGGCGGGCTCCAAGGCACTGGCACCATGTGCCTGGATGTGGAAGAGGGGTCCAGTCCCCTTCTCCATGTCCCAGGTCCCTGGTTGGGCTCTGAGATACTGGCAGAGTGTGCCTGGTTCTGGGAGAAGGGTCCGGTCCCCTTCTCCATGGCTTAGGTACACAGGTGGGCCCCGAGGTGCTGGCGTTTTGTGCCTGGTGTGGGAGGAGGGTCCAGTCCCCTTCTGCATGCCTCTGGGTTGGGCGGGCCCCGAGGTGCTAGCATGGTGTCCCTGGTTGTGGGAGAGAGGTCCAGTCCCCTTCTCCTTGCCTCAGGTCCCTGGGTGGGCCTCAAGGTACTGGTGTGGTGTGCCTTGTTGTGGGAGGAGGGTCTGGTTCCTGGCTCCATGCCTCGGATCACTGGATGGAACCCAAGGTGCTGGCTTGGTGTGCCTGGTTGTGGGAGGGTGGTCTGGTCCCCTTCTCCATGCCCTGGGTCCCTGGGCGGGGCCCAAGGTGCTGGCACGGTGTGCCAGGTTGTGGGAGAGAGGTCCAGACCCCTTATCCATGCCTTGGGTCCCTGGGTGGGTCCTGAAAGTCTGGCATGGTGTGCCTGGTTTTTGGAGAGAGGACCATTTGGGAGAGAGGACCATTCCCCTTCTCCTTGCCCCACGTCCCTGGGTGGGCTCTGAGGTGCTGGCATGTTGTGCCTGGTTGTGGGACGCTGGTCTGGTCCCCAACTACATACCCTGGGTCTCCGGGTGAGCCCCAAGGTGCTGGCTCAGTGTGCCTGGTTGTGGCAGAGAGATCCGGTCCCCTTCTCCTTGCCTTGGGTCCCTGGGCAGGCCCCAAGGTGCTGGCATGGTGTGCCTGGTTGTGGGAAGGGGTTCCAGTCCCTTTCTCCATGCTTCAGGTCCCCAGGCTGGCCCTAAGGCATGGGTGTAGTTTGCTTGGAAGTGGGAGTGGGGTCCAGCCCCCCAGATCCAAGCCTCCAGCTCCCAATCAGGCCCCAAGTTGCTGGTGGTGTGCCTGGCCCGGAACTAATTTTTTGTCCTTTGCTTCTAACGGGGGGAACTTCCTGTGGGAACCAGTACTTGAGCTGTGTGGTTGTTTAAATTGCTACTTTGCTGCTGTTTCCCTAGGGAAAGCTTTTTGTGCTGCTCTGGGTTTAATGGTTGACCTTATAGGTACTTCCGGCTCTCCAGAGACCCAGTGGATCTGTGTTCTGTAGAATCTCTGATCTGGGCCTGAGTTTTTTCATCAAACTGCACCCCATGCAATTCTGCATTCCTCTGTATTCCTGACCAGTCTCCTCTGAGTGGTCCTGTGCTGTTGGGGGGCAGATCAGCTGTCCCTGCTGTGTCCCAGTGTTCCCCTGCTGGGCACATCTCCCTCACTGACCATGCTCCAAACACTTCCCATGGGACGGGCCCTGTGCTGGTCCCTTGTGATGACTCACTGGTCTCTGAGTGGCTCCCTGTTTCTGGTTGTTCTGGCTCCTCGCTCCTGCATGGATCCACGGGAACCTTATTTGTGGTCTTGCTGTCCTGGGGGCCACCAAGGCCCTCTTCTCTCTTGCTGCCTCCAAGTAACTCGATGTGAAGGGCACAGCTGTGGCTTCTGCCGGCTCCTGCTCCATGTGCTCAGCGGCTCCTGCTCCATGTGCTCAAGCAGCTTAAGCCTTAAAGCAGCAATGGCCTGAAATGCTCAGAGCAGCTTTTTCTTTCTCTCATCGTGGTTTCTCCTGCCTTCATGTACTCCATAGGTCACCCCTCTTCTTCCCCTGAGCTCCAGCAGCCCTGGCTTGGCTGATGTTACATTTTTATAGTTGTAAATTTGGTTGATTTGTGGGAGAGAGTGACGCTGTGGACCATCTATTCTGCCATCTTGATTGGATCTTCACACTAATGATTCTTGAATAGAGTTAAACTAAAGGCAGATTTTCTTTTCTTTTTCCCCGTTTCTTTTTTTGTTGTTTTTCTTTGGTTTTTCTTGTATGTTTGTTTGTTTTTGTTTTGTTTTTTGCCATAAAGTATTGAAAAGAAAGTCTATTCCAGCATTTTGGAATACAAATTTGGGTCAAAAATCAAGTTTATTCCTTTTATTGATTTATAAACAAAATGTTGTTTATTAGTCAACAAACATTTATTAAATACCTAGTAAATTTCAGGCACTCTGCCAGGCACAGGGATGACCATCACAATAAGATGTGTACCCTGCCCTCAAGCAGCTGACATTACAGGAGACTGACAAGTATACGTAATAACTTCGTATAGCATACATCTAGGATTTTTGACCTAAAAAGTTTTTTGACATACTTTTTCTTTGCTATCCATTTTTTTCTTTTCTTTTTCTCTTCTCTACTTTATCTTTTAGTTTTCAAAGGAAGAGATTTTTACAGATTCTAAGTGTGATTTATATGTAAAGACAAAATGATGATTTTTTTTTTTACCAAAAGTTCAATATTACAAAAATGAATATAAACTTTTCATGCGGTTTCATGCATATTAAAAATGCAAATAATTTTAATCTCATTGCATTTTTCAGAATTCTCAATCATAATCCTCTGACTACTGTTGAAGATGCACATCTTTTTAAATTGCCAGCATTAAAATATCTGTAAGTATCACAGGAATGTCATGAGTCACAAGACAACTTATGCTTTTCTTTTTTCCTTTCATCAAAGATTAAGTATTTTCACTTGAGCTAAAAAGTCATAATTTTAATTTTAACTGGGTTATTGGGGGGAAAGGTTATTGGCAAAGGGAAGGACTAAGAGAGGATGTGTAATGGGCAAGACTGCCAGCGAAGGACTAAGAGAGGATGTGTAATGGGCAAGACTGCCAGCAGTGGAAGGGAGCAGTGTTGAAGAAAACACATAGACATGGAACATGTAGATTCAGGTAGGAATATCATTTATCCCAGAAAGCAAAGAGGAAGAGCTGTATTTTATTTAAAAAAGAAAAAAAAGAAGTGTAATCAAGACAGGTGATTGTAATTCAAAATGATAAGTAAGATAATGTTTAAAAAAAAAGTAGATGTTCTCTATTCAATCCTAAGGCCATTAGTTTAATGATGCAAATAAACTTAAATTTATTCAATAAGAGCTCTCTAGAATNGACATGGGAGCAACACAAGTGTCACTTACAACAATTGAGAACACCATCCTGATGTCTCTTGAATTGGAAAAACTGTAAGTTACTTTTTTCCTTAGATTTATTTTCACTTAGTTTTGGGGTTGTTTTCTTGTTTTCTGAAGTCAGGTTTATTAAGGTATAATTTTCACATAATAAAATTCACTCCTTTTAAGAGTACACTTTGATGCATTTTGATAAATGTATGTTATGTAACCCCCACCACATTCCCAATATGGAACATTTCTCTCCCTTCAAAAACGCCCCTTATGTCTCTCTGCAGTCAATCCTCTCCTCCCACTACCAGCCCCTGGCAATGACCAGTCTGATTTCTGTCCCTATAGGTTTGCTTTTTCTAGAATGTCTTGTAAATGAAACCATGTAGTTTGTGGCCTTTTGCTTCTTTCACATACATAATCCTTTTAAGATAGATGCTGTTGCATCTATCTGTAGTTCATTCCTGTTTATTGTTGGGCAGCATTCCAGTGGTGTGGATATACCAGTTTGTGTATCCATTCATCAGTTTATGCACATTTGGGTGGTTTCCAACTTTTTGGCAATTATGAATAAAGCTGCTAAAAATACTGACATGCAGGTCTTTGGGTGAATATATATTTTCAGTTCTTTGGGGTAAATGCGTAGGGGTGGGATTGCTGCATCACATGCTTAGTGCATGTTTAACTTCGTAAGAAACTGCTGAACTGTTTCCTACAGTGGCTGTACCATTTTGCATTCCCTCCAGCGGTGTATGAGAGTTGCAGTTGCTCCACATCTTCACCTGATCCTTCTCTTCCAGGGTTTTAAAAAAATGTTAGCCTTTCTACTAGTAGGTGTGTAGTCATTGTGGTTTAATTTGCATTTCTTTAACAGCTGATGATATTGAATGTCTATTCATGTGCAAATATCATCTTTACTGAAGCGTCTGTTCAAATCTGTTCCCATATTTTGATTGGATATTTATCTTTTTGAGTGTTAAGAGTGCTTTATTATATACTCTGGATACAATTCCTTTTTCTCAGATATGTGTTTAGTAAATACCTTCTCTCAGGTTGTGGCGTATCTTCTCATTCTATTTAAAGTATCTTCGAAGAGCCGAAGTTTTTTAATGTTTGAAATTTGATGAACTCTAATTTAGCAATTTTTTCTTGAATGGTTTGTGCTTTTTTGTGTCTGACCTAAGAAACCTTTTTTAAGAACCCATTGCCTAATCCAAACTCACAAAGGTCTTCTCCTATGTTTTCTTCTAGAAATTGTGTAGTTACATTTAGGTCTGTGATCCATTTTGAGTTAATTTTTATGTATGGTGTGAAGTATGTCATTTTATTTCTGTAGGGCCCTATTGTGACAGTTTGTTCCACAACTCATCACAGCTTACATTTTGCCATCCTCCCTCCAGTATGGCAAGCTAAATAGAAACGTGCTGTTGTGCTAAGGCTAGTTGAGGGGATTACACAAGATCAGTATGGAAAAAAGCCCTTCATTTGCAATCTGCTGCAGTCATACTTGTCAGGTCACCTCCTTGACTATCTTCACAACGTTGTCAGCAGATCCATCAGATACTGCTCTAGCCTCATCGCCCTCAACCTCCTGCAGCGTCTGACACAGTCGATCCCTCCCATGTTGCCAGGTGACCTTTTTGCTGCATAGTCAAAGTTCTCATCCACTGGCTTTTTCACTTTGTT